TTTTTTTTTTTTTTTTTTTAATTTTCATATCATAATATAATTTTTCATTGTGTAAATCATAATTTCATATATATAAAATATGAAAATGAAATTTTATTAATTTGAAATTTAAGTCTTGAACATAAATTATTACTTCATTAAAAGTTAATATAAAAAATAATATTACATTTTTTTTTATAATGCTTTTTGTTTTTAATTTTTCAATTTCATTTTTTTTGTTTATATTATGTTTTAATATATCACAAAATACTAATGAATAAATACAAACGTATAAAAAAAATCTTATTATATAAAATTGCAATTCTTAAGAGATCGTGAAGCAAGCAAAAAAAATTCATTTCTTACTTTAAAGAAGTTAAAGAAGAACTTGTCATTATTGATAGACATTAAAGAAATTGAAAATAGTTTATACGTAATTAATATACATGATCGAATATATAATGTATCGTCTAAAAAAATTTACATTTCTAAAATAAATATCAAAAAATATAATAAATATATTACATAAATAATCTTATAGGCGTGGATACATTATTCAGAATAAGATATGCTTTATTGTCAATCATTCTAAAATTCAACTATGAATATAATATAAAAGAATAAAAACCAATTTTGATATAGTCTTTTTATATATATTTTTTTTTAGTCTTTTGGTATAGGATTTTTATTTCTTTTATAACTATAATTACATAAGATTTAATTGAATAATACATAAATGACGCACAGAATGATTTTTCATGAAAAAATAAGAAAAATAATAGAATAAAATTTTTTTATCTATAGCTTCGTTCTTGAGAAAATCAAATTTGAAAACTTTTTAAATAATAAACTTTTATAAGTAATATTTTTGGCTTATATTTTCATTTAAAATCACTCTTATAATAGTTATACTATTATTCATTGGATATCCTGTATATACAGTGTAGTTCACTTGAAATTAATCTTGATTATTTTTGTTTAATTTCATTTAATATTATAATTTGATTATAATAAACACTTTAATTTTTTAACATAAAATTATGTTAAAACTAAGTCGGATCAGAGATGTTTGCTATTTTTTATTAACAATCTGGATATTATTTGACATGAAAGCAAAACTGTTGTAATTCAATAATGTCAAATAAATAAGTAAGTAATTTTGTGTAAGAATTTTTATTAATAGCGTAATAATTTCTACATAATTATATTCCAAAGTCATATTACTTTCAATCTAATAATAGATAACAATAATAGATAACAAAAAAATTTTGAAAATTAAAAATTAACAAAATAATATATAAAATAATAAAACAATATTTTTTTTTATTTAATTTTTAGGTATTGGAATATAATGTTCCGAAAGGAGGAAGACGAAGATCAATATCACTTATTGTTGCATATAAATTGTTGGCATCTCAAGATCAACTAACAGAAGAAAATATTCATTCAGCTCGTATTCTAGCTTGGTGTATGGAAATAGTTAGTTTAATTTTATTCTATTTCTCTCTTTTACTTTATATTACTTTAGAATTTATAATTTTTTAATTTATTAATATTCATATATATTTATTTGAAATGAAAAGAAATTTATATCTTATATAACTTTTTATTATTTTATTAATTTAAATTCAAATTATTTCTTTTGTAACTTATAAATTTAAAAAATTATTTGCATATATGATTATTACAGTTGCAAGCAGTTTACATAGTGATGGATGATATTATAGATCATACAGACATGCGACGAAATCAACCAACTTGGCATGTAAAAATTGGATTATCTGCAGTTAATGATGTTTTAATTATGCAAACATGTATATACGATCTTTTTAAGAAATATTTTAAATCGAAAGATTGTTATATAGATATTTTAAATTTATTTTCGAAAGTGAGTAATAGATTTTTATATTTATAATAATATTTATAAATAATATTCAAATAAATAATTATTGTATTAACAAATTAATTTTTCATAATAAAAACAAAATTATTATTTTTTACAGTTTTAATTTTTAAAAAAGTAATAATAATAATTTTTTATATAAACTTTTGTGTATTTAAAAAAAAATTAGATAATTTTATCGTATACGAAAATCGTCTAAAAAGTGCATTCTTGCATATAATTTTAAATAATAATAATAAAAAAAACATTATGATGACATTAATATGTCATCAAAATATAACTATTTTTTTTTGTTTAAATGTAAAATGTTAGCATTTTATAATGAATGTAATATTAATTCTCGCATTTTATTTCTTTGACATTTCTAAAAGGATTTTTTGTAAAGATGTTCTATAAAAATGTTCATTTCGTTATGTTCATAATGTTCATTTCAATGAAGTAAAATAGATGAATTTTGGATTCAATTGGAATTTGGAAATTTTAGATTCAAAATCGATGATAGAAATATTTCAATAACGAAGTGAAGAAATATATCATATATTGGGAAAATTTATTCTCATACGAATTATATTGAAAAAATAATAATTCTGAAGTTAATGAATTATATTTTCATTTCAATATTGATTTTCTTAAATATTTTTTTTTATTTTCAATATATAAGTAAGCTTTTCAAATGATCTTCATATTTATAAATATTATTTTTTGTACACTTTTATAGAAATTAATAAAATTGTATATTTTTCATAAAGTATAATATTAATTAATTAAGTATGTATTAGTAATATATATTAAGTAATATATTTTTTGCTAAATTAAAAACGTTAAAAATTGTTATTAATTTTATTTAATTTAATTTTTTTAAAAATATTATAGATATCTTATTAATTCTAAAAATCTTTTTTAATCAAAAATTTTAATAATAAATAAAAGGATAATAATATAGTAATACAATACAAAACGAATAATGCAATTTACTTAATTGTGTATAACAATTTTGAATTTTATGCATGCAATATATGTATACATTTTTTTCTATATAAATTTACATTTTAAAATAATGTAATTATTAAAACACGATTTATCAAATATTTATTTTATTTGTAGTATCATAAAAAAACAGTGCAAGGTGAATGTCTAGATATATTGATATCAACAGATTGGGGAAAAAAATCGAATCTTGATCTTTTTTCTATGGACCAATACAATACTATAGTAAAATATAAAACATCTTATTATTCATTTGTACTTCCATTCGTTCTTGCTATGCGTTTCGTAAGTATATTTAATTGCACTATTTGATTTTATTAATTCTTATAATTGTATTCTTATAATTGTATTCTTATAATTGTAAATGTATTTAAGAAAAGTATAGATTTTTTTTATTTTCTATTTACAATTTTAATTATAACATTATAGGCTGGGATAACTGATTCAGAGATATATAAACAAGCAGAAAAAATTCTGTTAAAAATAGGACATCTTTTCCAAGTACGAGATGATTATTTAGATTGTTATGGTAAGCGCGAAGTCATAGGAAAAAGTGGAACTGATATACAAGAAGGAAAATGTACATGGCTCATTGTGATTGCTTTGCAACGAGCTACAGCTGAACAAAAGAAAATTTTAAAAGTAAACTTTTGTTAATAATATTTCACATTTATTTTCTTCTATTTTTCTAAATAAAATTCTGGAATAAATTACTAATAATATTAATATCATAGGAATGTTATGGAATAGCTGATGAAGAAAAAATAAAACGTGTGAAACAAATTTATGAAGAAATTGGTATATCAAATATCTATTTCGATTACGAAGAAGAAATGCATAATTTATTAAATACATATACACAGAAATTATCTTCAAAACTTCCGACTGAATATTTTTTATACTTACTCACTACATCATGCAGTAAAATAGGACAAAAAAATTAATCAAAAATTATAAATTAAGTTATAATAGAAAAGTAAGAAAATAAATTTATTATCTTATAATTATTAAATATGAAGTATATTTATATTATTAGGGAAATATAAATAATTCGAAATTTATTTTAAGTTTAAATGATATGATTTTATATGATTTTTATATGAGATTTTATTTGGCATTTTGTTTGATACGTAAAAAAATATTTGTAACAAAAAAATTTGTAATAAAAATTTATCGGTATCAAATATAAAATGAATAACGATAAAAATTTCGAAAAGAATTTGTTTTCAGAACGAAACAAAAATTATTTTATTTTTTAATATTTTTTTTTTCATTATATTAGGAGAAAATTAAGATAAATAATAATTAATAAATGTATACAATATATTTATTATAATACTAAGTTCATAATAATGAAGATATTTTATTTGTTATTCAGATTATTTATGAACTATGTAAATATAACATATTACTCGAAATTTGTGATTTTATCATTAATTTTTTATTGTTTTCTTTGCTGGTTTCCTTGCAAATTAATAACATTTCAAATATTTAGTATAAAGTGAGTTTTTTGGTGATGCGCTGTTTTTAATTCTTATAAACTTAATATGTGATCAAGATTCGCAATTTTTAATGAGAAAAAAATTTTGAAAATATATATATAACCATATCTCAATTTTAATTATAACATTACAACTTATCATATCTCATGAAAATTTTACTTCATTGTAATAAACCAATAATCAAAATTATCAATATCAAAATGTTCTTCAATTACACAATTAAATGGATTTTATAATATAGAGATTCTTTTCACATTGAATATAATTTTAATTCTGAAAATCTATTCAATTGCAATTTCATATATAAATGAAGAGTTCTCTTTATCTAATGATTTTTGAAAATAATGATGTCATGTATTGAAAATTTAAATTCTCATTTGATAAGACTGACATAATATAATTTTGTTTTGATCATTGGATTAACGAATCTGATTCTTGAATCATAGATGCAATTTGCCAATTATAATGGCTGGATTTGGTATATAGAATGTGAATTGCTAAATTCTATTTTAATATAAAAAGATTTCTAATTATTAAGATTTGTTAATACTATGTATTAGAGAATTGTAATGATCATTCGATTTTAGATGTATAAAAATAATTTTATTTTTATATCGATTTCATATGCTTTTATTATTTAAAATTATTAATAATTTTTTAATAGTAATTAATAATAATCTATCTAATCTTATCTATAAAAACATTATATATCATATCTATAAAAACATTCACTGGAAAAATGAAATTTTAAGAGTTTTGAATTTGAAGATTATTATAGAAAATGAAACATATTATATCAAAACTATGATAATTGAATCTATATTTTGTAATAAATTATATAAATTATTTATTTATAAGAAACAACAATGCACAAAAATTATAGTAATAATGATATTGTTAATATTACAATGAATATAAACTTTCACACAATGTTATGTATTTTTGTCAAGCTGTCAATTCATTCTGATATCATTTGAAATATATTTTCAAGATTCATATAAAAAAAAACTTATATATTATATATATTATATACTTATATATACTTATATATATTCTTTATTATATACCTGAAAGATATGTTGCCGTACACATATAATAAAGGAATAATTTTACACTGATAAATTTCATATTCATTCTACTTATAGAAAAGTTTCAATATTTAATAAAAATGTTTCAATTTTTTGTTCTTGGCAACTTATCATTGTTTAATAGAATAGCTAACTTTTTCTTAAACAATTTTATATATTTATTAGAGAGAATATTAAGAAATTGGAAAATATAACAATAACAAATCAAATTTTGATACAGTTTTTAGTTATATTTTTATTTAAAATAATTTTAACAAAATAATCCAAAATATATAATAGATATCTGAATATTTTCATCAAATAATTGATGCATTTAAAAAAACATTTTAATTTATAGTTTTAGAATAAATGTAGAATTCAATCTGATTTTATTTTAAATAAATGTTTATATATAATTCATATTAGCTTTAACATTTGCAACTTACATTAAGTATAACAAACACAAAAGAATGAATATTAAAGAAAATTATTATATACAACAAATTGATACAAAAGATTTATTTAATGAAACTATGAACAATATGACAATTAAATTCTATTAAAAAATCTTATAGAAATATATATTTTTATAATTTAATAATTTCTATATTGAACACAATTTTCGATATTACGTAGTGTACATATTAAAATGTAATTTTAATTCTTACATGTAAAGAAAAACAAATGTACTTAATGTTCGAAGAGACAAATGTGATTTATTACAAAATAAGGTTAGTAATCGAAGTTGTACAATGCTATAAGATAAAAGTATGTATTATAAAATGAATAATAAACTTTTATCGACTTTTAAATTATTTTCATATAATATTTGAAAAAAAGCAAATCCAAAACTTGCAGATAATTATTATCTACATGAAAAAACACATTTAAAAATACAAAAATTAATCATCATATAAAATAACTGTTAGCTATTTAATATTCTTGAACTCATTAATATTTAAAAAATTTTTTATTTATCAATTGCAATATATTATCTTACGAAATTAATGAAAACACACATTTTAAATGTTATTTAAAAGAAAATAATATTATAAACATTCACTCAAGATATTAATCATAAAATTTGTTACATTGTGTATATATATATATATATATATATATATATACATACCAAATGTATCAAATTTTATCTAATACAACAATATTATTACAAAAATTTGAAAGTGATTCTTATAATTTCGTGTAAAATATATACTGGATATTTAAATATAAAACACAATTATATATAAAACAATAGCAAATAAATAAATATATATATATATAAATGCAATAAAAAAACTGATAATAAAATTGTTACAAAAGTTGACAAAGAGCGAAAAAATCAAATCAAAATAACTTTTTTTGCTAACAAATTCACAGATATGTTGTTATAAAAAAAAAATATTTAAAGCTTCAAAATAAAAAATAATAGAATATATGCAAAAATATATAAAAATATATAAAAAAAAGTATTAACTGTTGATAAATAATTTCTGATGTAAATTATATGCAAACGCATAGATGAGGTGAATCTAGAAAACTACGTAGAGTTCTAGAACACGAATTCAAAAAACATTAGAAGGTCTCGAGTGAGAATTCATGCAATCTCATAATAAAAATTATAATAATCTTGTAATTACTAAATGTAGATATTATGTATATATAAATCTTTCTAGTTTTATTAATGTATCTTTTTTATAATAAATTCCAATAGATTATATTCTTAGAGATTTTAGATAAGAAAAATAAGAAATTATCAATCGAATATACAATTACGCAATTCAATAAATAAACAGAAAAAAAATTATTCGTATAATATATTACAATTTTCATCTTAAGAAGATTAAATTAAAAAAACATTTAATTAGTTTAACTGATAACAATAAATGATATTAATAATAAAATAGTTAATAACATATAGAAGATAGATGTAGACTATATACTCTTAGAAAAATATTTTTTTTTTAAAAACAAAAAAAATTAATTTTTTTCATAAGAATATATAATATATAAAATAAATA